AGTTTAATTTTATTAGTACGTCTTTGCAGTACATGATGATTGCATTCATCATGGTACCTTTTCTCTTCTAAACTTCTGGATACTATTAGGAGAGGTTGTGTTGACCTTTGCACAGTCCCTTTCAAAGGAGCATCCGATACTGTATTGTGATAGTACCGCACTGCTGTAGGACTCATATGGCCACCTTGGAGGAGCCTTTGAGGTCTGTTTCAGTTACATCCTGTTGGACAAGGGGCCAGTACTGTAAGACTCCTCAGAACTCATGCACTTGTGTCACATGGTCTGATATGTTAGAATGGATGTGTTTGAATTCGTGCCTGCAGAGATTTCTTTTTCAGCACTGGGGTTTGAACCCAGGGCCTTGTGCATGGTAGGCAAGTGTTCTACCACTGAGCTATACTCCCAGCTCTTTTTATTTTATTTTGAGGTAGACTCTTGCTAAGTTACCCAGGCTGGCCTCCAATTTGAGCTCCTGTCTCAGCTTCCCGAGTTGCTTGGATTACAGGCATGTACCACCATGCCTGGCTTCCTGCAGATTTTTTTTTTTTGTATAGGAATTGAACTCAGGACCTCACACTTTCCAGGCAGGTGTTGCGCCACTGAGCTAAATCCCTGGCCTTCCTGGCAGGTTTTAAACATCAGATCTGTGGGCACTATTTTGTAGCGTGCATATTGTGTGTATTCTATACAGTGTGGTGGTTGAAAGCACAGACTTTGAAATCCACTTGATCTGAGTTGAAATCCTCGCTTTTCCACTTACGAATTATGTGACTTGTGTTGGGCATTCTCAATCTGTCTGATTCTCAGTGCTCTCATCTCTTAGAATTGGGATACTGAAATCTTGTGCACAAGGTTGTTGTGGGAAGTAAGTGACTTAATGAATATGACGGCACCTGGGACATGGAAGATTCTTAGTTTCTTTTTTCTTGTGCCCTTGTAGGTTTACAAAGATGAGCAGGTGGTGGTGATTAAGGATAAGTACCCTAAGGCCCGTTACCACTGGTTGGTGCTACCATGGGCCTCCATTTCCAGTCTGAAGGCTGTGACTAAAGAACATCTTGAACTCCTCAAACATATGCACACTGTGGGAGGAAGGGTGATTGCAGATTTTGCTGGATCCAGCAAGCTCCGCTTCCGATTGGGCTACCATGCCATTCCTAGCATGAGGTAAGCCGTGTGAGTAGCGCTCCTACTTCTTGGTTTTGTGCAGGTGATCAGCCTGGGCTTATTGAGTGTGCTGATTGTTGTGTCCAGCGAAGCTCTCAAAATTTTTGGGGTAAAGGACGGTAGAGTTTGAAGAAAAAAGGACAAAAATCAGAATACAGAAAGCTGAGTTCAGCTGGAGCCTCCTGTCCTTATGAGAGAAAAAGGACTGTTTAATGACTGCAGTGCATTTGTTTGTACACTTGGTAGGTTGATGTCACATGACACCCCTCTGTCTAGCAAGGTCTTTGCTTGGATGCCTTGGGCTCTCCGTGTTCTCCGAGGTGGAGCAGCTTGTCCCCTTGGCTCGACTCCGCTGCTCTTTGTTCCTGGGACTGGCCTTGCTCCAGCCCTGCATGTGTGATTGCTCTCCAGCTTCAGCTGCTCCCCACAAGTGATAGCCCTGAGGCACGGTGCAGTGGGTGAGATGTTTCCGAGGCGGGTGGGCTGACCTTCTACCCTTCTGCCTGACTTGCTTGTGACACTTGAGTTCCTGTTCTGCCTGTAATTCAATCCTATGTGGTTCTTAGTTCCTCTGAATATTTAGACCTTTGAGGGCCTAACATGAACTAGATGGGGGAGCTTTTGTTACCCTCACATGAAGAATTGTTGTCAGGGGCTTTTATTTGATTTTTCAAAATCATCTGCCGCCAAGCTGGGCGTGGTGGCATATGCCTGTACTCCCAGCACATACGGGGGCTGCGGCAGGTGGATCACTGCAAGTTCAAGGCCAGTCTGGGCTACACAGTGGGTTCAAGGCCAGCTTGCACAACAAAGTCAGACCCCGTCTCAAAAAACCCTACAAAAACAAACCAAACCAAACCAAACAAACCAAAACAAAACACAACCAAAAAGTAATCCCAAAATGATTAAGGACAGTTGTTCTGAGGGAAACAAACATTATAGACTTCTGTAGTGACAGCTTAGTAGATGTAAGATTTAAAATGAGGAAAAAGTGTAGAGGCTGTTTTCTTTTGGCTTATGCCCAGAATGATTTAGAAAGGAATGACTGATTCTTTCCAAAGAATGCAAACCAGGCAGATCTGTACATTCTTTTGGTCCAAGTAGTAAGATAATGAGATTTTCAAAATTTTTAGCTTTTTTTTTTTGGTCCTGGAAATTGAACCTTGTGCGTGCTAAGTACATACTTGCTGCCCCTTTAGCTGGGGCTGAGGGACCTTGTGCTTGCCAGGCAGGCCCTTGTGCCACTTAGCTATATCCCTGGCCCCCAGCTTTTTTTTAAATAACAAAGTGTACGTTTTAACCACTTTGAAATGCGCAGTGCATTGCCATTAAGTGTATTCTTATTGTTGTATAACTGTTACCACCGTCTGTCTTCAGAACTTATTTTGTCTTAAACTGAAACTCAGCTCATTAAATATTAATTCTGCACTCTCCCTCGCCGGCAACCACCATTTTACTTTTTGTGTCTATGAATTTGAGTATTATAGGTATGTCATATAAGTGGAATCATAAAGCATTTGTCCTTTTGTAACTGGCTTATTTCTCTTAGTATAAGACCCTCAAGATTCATCAATGTTGGAGCGTGTGCCAAGATTTCCTTCAGTTATTTTTTTAATCACTAACATTGACATTTTATTTAGATGGTTAATTTTTTTTTTGTTCTGGGACTCTAACTCAGGACTTTGTGCTTGCCAAGCAGGCACTTATGCCGCTGAGCTATATCCCCAGCCCCTAGATGGTTAAGTATTCCTTAGATTACTGGCTACTTCAGCCAAATGAAATCTTTGTACCACATTCCCCTCCCCTTCCCATCAAGTACTTTGTTTTAAACTGAACCATAATTTACATAAAATAAAATGCATAATAAGTTGTGTAGTTTGATCAGCTTTGACATATATATGTAGTCACTATCATTCTGATCAAGATACAGAATATGTTCATCATCTAATCCCAGAAAGTCCTTGTGTATCCCTGTCCAGTCAGGCCTCTGCCACAAACATTGTTGAAAGATTCTAGCATAGTTTTTGTTACATAAATGGATTCATACAGTACACACTCTTTTTGTTTGACTCTTTGGTCAGCATAATGATTTTGAAATTTCATACACCATGGACATACTTTGTTTTTTTTACTCTTGGGTAAATACTTAGAAGTGAACATGCTAGATCATAGAGTAGTATATGTTGTACCTCATACAAAGAAGTCTGCCTTATATTTAGTTGTTTTCGGTACTGAGAATTGAACGTAGGGCCTTGTACATGCTAAGCATGCATTCTACCAACTAAGCTATGCCTCCAGCGTCAAGAAGGAAATATTTATTGTTAAAACTTGATTTGAGGTTTTTGGTGCAAAATTCACCCTGGATTCTATCCTCTAACACAGCGGAGCTAGTGCCTGAGACCTCGGCCCCGAGCGCTTTCACAGAGAGAGCGTGAGGCCTGTGCCTGTCCCGCGCGGTACTGCTGCTGTGCTAAGGAGAGCGCCAAGAGCGATGAGTAGCAAGGGGAGCTGCCGTTTTCACACCTTTCAGCGACCACTGTGCTGTAAAATTACTGCACAAATCAAGCTGATAGGAAAGTAATAATTGTTTTTCTGTGAATGTAGTATTTTCAATTTAGAAAATATAAAAATAAAGTATTAAGCCGGGTGTGGTGGCGCACGCCTGTAATTCCAGCACTTGGGAGCTTGAGGCAGGAGGATCCTTGCAAGTTGAAGACCAGCCTGGGGCAGCCTGGGCTCCAAAGTGCGCTCAAGGCCAGCCTGCACTGCACAGTGAAACCCTGTCTCAAAATGACCAAAAAAAAAAAAAAAACCACACAAAAAAAACCATGAAGCAGAACAAAGAGCTTCCGTAACACTCACCACTAACTGCTGTAGAGTAGACCTTATTTTACCCATTTCTCCTATAGCATCTTTCTCTGCTTCAGAATCTAGTCCAAGATCTCTGCCCGGATCTGAGAGCTCCTCTTTCTTTGCTGGTATTTGTGATTTTTTTGCCCCCACCTCCTTTTTGTGATACATTTTAGTGCTGAGCTACATTCCCAGCGCTTTTATTTACTTATTTTTTTAACTTTTTGAGACAGCATCTTACTAAGTTGCCCAGGCTGGTCTTGAACTTGTGATCCTTCTGCCTCAGCCTCTGGAGTAGCTGGGATTGCAAGCATGCACCATCATGGCTGTCTTGATCTAGACGTTTTTTGAGGAGTACTGGCAGGTTGTTTGGTAGGATGTCTCTCAGTTTGGTTTGTCTTTTTTTTATTGTCTTTTTGAGACAATGTTTCGCTATGCAGTTCAGGCTGGCCTTGAACTCACTTTGTAGCCCAGGCTGGCCTTGAACTCACAGCAGTCCTCCTGCCTCAGCCTCCCTAGTGCTGGGTTTACAGGCGTGCACCACCATACCTGGCCTAATTTTTTTTCAATGATTAATTTAAAGCTATTATTATTTGCCAAAGATTTTTTTTTGCCTGATATTTACCTGTCCTTCTCAGTCATCTTAAAGGGAACATGATATTGAGATGACTTATTACTGGTGATTTAACTTTGATTATTTTAAGGTGGTGACTGCCAAGTTTCTGCACTGTTACTATTTTCCTTTTGTAACCCAATGTTGTACTACTGTCCTTTTTCTCAAATTTACAGTGAATGATTGTAGCATCTGTTGGTGGATCTTGCCTGTAACAGTTTATTACTGATATTTGCCCAGAGGTGACTTTATATCTTTATTCATTAATTAGTTAATTAATTAATTTGGGATTGAATCCAGGACCTTTGCACTGAGCTACATCCCCTTTTTTTATTTTTTATTTTGAGACGGGGTCACACTAAGTCACTTAAATTGCCCAGGCTAGCCTTGAACTCACAGCAGTCTTCCTGCCTCACCCTCCGAGTGCTGGGATGAAAGGGATAAGCCTCCAGATTTGCCTCTACTTTATTAATTTAGATTCTTTTGCGTGCCTTTCCTTCTCTCTCAGTATTTTTTATCCAGTTATTTGTTAGTATAGACTTGTGAATGCTTATTCTGTGGGTTATAATTCGTTTTTTTTTGTCTTTTTGAGACAGGGTCTCACTGCACAGTTTAGGCTGGCCTTGAACTCGCAGCAATCCTCCTGCCTCAGCCTCCCAAGTGCTGGGATTGCAGGCATGTGCCACCATGCCCTGCTCTCTGTGGGTGATAATTCAATACTATCATTAATTTGTTGCTTAAATTGTTCCAGCCTTGGTCATCATAAACTCCTTTAGATGGACCCCTCTGTCACTTTGCCGTGATCCCTGATATTTTTTGAGTATTGTCTTACTTTCTGGTTCCACAAGATGTGTCAGGCTTATCTTGTATTTTTCACATCTCAGCCCTGAAGTGAGGGCTAGTTCTTTTTTTTTTCTGCCCCTGATGAGGGGATGTATTAACCAAGACTTGGGTGCTAGGGTTTTCTAATGAGAGAAGTGGTTGCTTCTAGAAAGACGTTGCTTCTAGGTCCTTTCAGCAGATAGAGCCAGGAAATACATGTTTGAATCAGGAACCTACAGACACATCTCTTACCCTGTACTTGTGTCCCTACACATGTGTGACTTTATACTGACACCTGTCATTCTGTCTGTAGTCTACAGAGTTCATTCTTGTTTCTCTTTTCCTTTTTTTTGTAGGTTCTTTCTCCTGTAGTGAGAAACCTAGCCTTACAATAAATTGCTTACTTATTTAGGTGTAGTATTCTATAAAATGGTTACAGAGTTGATAACCAGTCTCCTGTAATAAAGACAGTTACTAATTAGTGTACAGTTTTGTGTACAATTCTTTTTGTCTTTAGCTTTATAGTATCTAGTCAAAATACTGTTTTACACAGTTACTTTCTTCCTCATCCATTTCAGTGTGGTCATTGTATACACTTGTAATACAAGTAAGTGTGTTTCTTGCTACTTATATTTACATTTTGGATTCTCTGTATATACTGATTGGTTTTGATTATTTGTTGGGGGATGATGAAATGTTAGTGACCTAAAAGTGAAAATTAGAAAAAAAAGGCATTCTCTATGTTTTAACAAGTCAAAAATCCTGATTTTTTTCCCCCAGTACTGCAAAATGAACATGGGATCTTCACACTGAGCTACACATCCAGCCCTCTTTTTATTTTTAATTTTGAGACAGGATCTTGCTAAGTTACTAAGCTGACCAGGCTGGGCTTGAACTTGCAGTCCTCCTGCCTCAGCCTCCTAGAATGCTGCGATTACTGGTGTGTGCCATCCCACCCTGTGAGAACGGCTGATTTTGCTGCTGCATGTTGCTTTTCCCTTAATTTTCTCCATCTCAGTGCGTGGCACTGGCCCAGGTCCACGTTCAGCCCGTGTGCCTGGCTTTCTCCGCTGAAACCCTGCCTGGCAGAGGCGTCCTGGAGCACGCTTAATTAGAGAGGCAGCCTCTGTCCCATTTTCCTTTCATTCTTTCTTACCAGTTTTAACTGATTGACTTTTCTTTCTTTATTATTTGTTTTTCCTAATTAGAATATAATTTCTATAAGGGCAAAGCCCTTCCCATTTTGTTCACTGCTAAATTCCCAGTACCTAGAACGGTACTTGATCTTAGGGCTTTCGGAGCATTTAATACTATTTTTTGTTGGCATACGTTTCCGATACATGATAATTACATTCAGTCTTTGGGGAAATTACCTATGTGCATTTTGACCCCCACGCCCCATTACTCTTCCTTTTCCCCCTATCTCTGATCCCCTTCCCCATCTCCAAAAAAGTCTTACCTCCGTGTGTCTGACCATCTCCTCTTTATTTTGCTTTTTACTTGCATTTTGGTTTCTCAAGTAGGAGAAGCCCCATGATAGTTAGTCTTCTGTGTCGACCTGCTTCACTTAGCGTTCTCATCTCCAGATCCACCGTTTTCCTTCGTGTATTACTGAGTGAATGCACTGAATTAAGTGGACACACTAGTGATACTGTGGGCACGCCACACTTGGACTGTCATTTGGCTAAACCATAATGAGTTTTTTTTTTTTTTGCTTTTTCTCCGGTACCGGGAACCGAACTCACGACCTTGCGCTTGCCAGGCAGGCGCTTTTGCCGCTGAGCTAAATCCCCAGCCCCCATAATGAGTTTAATGTTCAGTTTTTTTCCTTTCAACTAGCCATGTACACCTTCATGTAATCAGTCAAGATTTTGATTCTCCTTGCCTGAAAAACAAAAAACATTGGAATTCTTTCAATACAGAATACTTCCTGGAATCACAAGGTAAACAGTATTCTTTGATTTTCACATTTGCTTCATTTTCTCAGCTGTTCTTATGCTTAATTCATTCTTTTCCCTGAATAACAATGTGGCCTCAAGAACCCACTGACAAGTTTGTATTCTTGATAAAGGAAACTGGAGTATTTGGCTTGTAGCATGATTGCCAGTGCTCTGAGCAGCCTTCTGGAGGGACTTACTAAGTTAGTGTGTTCGGGATAAAAATACTGTATTTCATTGTGGCAATAGGAGACCTAAAAGTTGTCATGAGAATTATTTCATACATGAGAAGGCTGTATGTAGTTCTTTGTCTCTCCTGCCATTGGTTGGGCAGAGTGTGGGGGCTGCTTCATGTTGGGGGGTTGCTTAAGAACAGAGGAGATCTGGGTATAATTAGAGGAAGCATTGCCTGGTGTGTAAACTGTGGAAGTTAGTGGTGCTGAGATGTTAATGACGGCAGCTGCCATTTACCAAGGGCCAGCCAGGGGTGAAGTACTGTGATAAGCCCTTGACATAGTGATACGGAGTGTGCCCTAAAGAAGGGTAATATCTCAGAGGTACATTGCTCAGATTTAGAATCTTATCACTCGCGTCTTCCTAATGTGAAGTCTAACCTCCAGCTTACTAGTTTTAGGATGAGTGGCATATTGATTGGAGTCATGTTTCCTCTTTTTGATTATCTTACATTGGCTTTTTGAAGTAGCTAGGATCTGAGCTTTTCTTCTTCGCTTGCAGCTGTGATCAAGATGGTACAAGAGGCTGGCAGAGTGACGGTCAAAGAAGGGACGTCTGAGCTCTTGAAGCTGCCCCTTCGTTGCCACGAGTGCCAGCAGCTGCTGCCTTCCATTCCTCAGCTGAAGGAGCATCTCAGGCAGCACTGGACGAAGTGATGTGCAGAGCCCGAACGACTGCTGCGCCGTGGCCAGTTGGAGCAAACTGCTGGCACCCGTTCTGGGTTACTCGTGAATGTCTGCTCAGTTCCTGAATTAAAACATGCAGCGGCTGGCTTTTTCTTTCTTTTTTTAAAATTTTTTTTAACAGTTCATTCTTGAGTGGCCACAATGTAGGGTGACTCAAAATAACTCAGGAATTAGGAATTTGGAATTTGGGTTTTGCATGGATGTGTTCTCTGCTAAGGGTAGTGGGGAGATACCCGAGCACCGTGTCCAGCACCCACATTAGGTCTAATGGGAAAGGGAGTAAAAAGCCACATTCAGGGTACAGAAACGTGGGATGGTTATATATTTTTGTTTTTTGTATTTATCCTCCTCCTTCGGAGTCACGTGACATCTTTCTGTCACAGTGGCTAGAACGGTCTCTTGTTTCTCCTAAAGGCTCTGAAAGGTTAAAGTTCTTTGATCTTGATCTGTTTTGCAGTAGTCTTCTCTCCTTCATGGTTCCTGGCTTCGTTCATTCTGCCCCTTCTACTCCTTGCTATCCAGGGTCACCTGAATACCCTGCTGTCAGGAAGTTAGTTCCAGGCAGTTCTTCGCTGTGAGCAGTACGGTTAGATGAGACTTCGGAGTGGGGAGTTTTGCTCCAGTGTCAGAGGTCGTGGCCTGCTTGGATCTGTTGTCTGGGAATAAATCCGTTTGTGTGAGGTACCTCTGCAAAGTAGTTGAAAATGATTGGAAGGTCACCTGACAATGACAAGGTTGGTTGTAATGCATGCAAATGTATAGAGCAGTTATATCAGGTTGTTTTTTTTTTTTTTTTTTGTCTTTTTGAGACAGGGTCTCACTCTGAGCTCAGGCTGGCCTTGAGCTCACTTTGTAGCCGAGGCTTGTCTCGAACTCGCAACAATCCTCCTGCCCCAGCCTCCTGAGTGCTGGGATTACAGGCGTGCGCCACCACGCCCGGCTTCAAGTTCTTTTTTTGGCAATATCAAACTAAAGGGAAGGGGAAAAATAAAAGTTGTTGATATATTTGGGGATAATTTTTACCTTTTCCCCTCTGTGACCCTGGGGACTGAGCCAAGCAGGGCCTCATGCATGTTAGGTAAGCACTGTGTTACAGCACTAGCCATTTTAAAAATTTCATTTTGAGACAGGTCTTTTAAAGTTGCCTAAGCTGGTCTTAAACTTGTGTCCCCCTACTTTAGTTTCCCAAAGAACTGGAGACTAAACTGTATAATACCTCATCTGACCTTGATTTTCACTCTTGAGCACTAAGCAGAAATAACCTTTAACCTTTCATAGAGACCCCATTTGATCTCATTGTCTGTCACAATAAAATACCACAGAGGTTGCTTGTTGAGCTTGGGTGCAGTAGTAATTAGTAGCAATTAATGATTATAGAGCTGCTGTTTACCAATTCTTATGTGTTCACTATGCTAAGCACTTAAGTTATCTTACTTAATTTTCGCTGTATGTACCTGTGAGATATTTTTGAACCCCTTTAGTTGATGAGGACCTAATATTCTGGTAATGGTACTGGTCTCCAAAGGGTCTTCGTTCTGATGTATCAAATTCATCATTTTCCCTATCAGTTCAACATACAAAGTGTAAGGCTAGTGTCTTAGTTACTTTTTTCTCGCTGCTGGGACAAAATACCTGACGACCAAAATGAAGGAAGGAAAGGTTTATTTCGCTTACAGTTTGTGGAGGTTTCAATCCGTACTAGGCATGATTATAAGGCAGAGTGGCACGTGGCAGAGGGCTACATCTCAGGGCGGCATCACAGCAAAGCAGCTACCAGGACACACACACCAGGGCGGAATGGGGGAGGAATGCCCCAGGCACTCTTTTCCTGTCCCTTACATATGCAAACTATCCACTCCCAGGTGGGTGTAGCTCTCACACCCATATTCAAACTCTAATAGCCTCCCCCAGGGCCGCAGGAGGCTTTGGGGGGACACACAGATATAAACCATAACAGCTAGTCATCAGGCATCATAGAACTTAGGGCCTTGAGCTTGTGCTAGTGAAAAGCTTTTATAGCATTTTACTGATTTCTCCAAGGCCAGCTGCTTCCTTTAAAGTCCTTCTTGTCCATTTCTCATTAGCCAGGATCTTTCATATCTGCCCATTGTCCCTTTTGTACTCCAGGAATATTATCTTTACCTCACCAGTCCATCTGCCCGTAGCTTCCTTTCTCGGGTTTGAGCCTGTCCCTGTGAGCCTGGCTGATCATTCTCGGAGCCTCTCTTGCCTTGGCTGTCCACCTGCTCTGTGGCCTGCGGGCTTCTTCCTCGACCCAGCTGAGCAGGTCTCGATTCAGTCCTGGGCCCCATCCCTGGCTGTGTTGTTCAGAGCTGAGAAGTCTTGGGGAAAAGTTCTTATTTTCTCCGAACTTCAGTATTCACATATGCAAATGGACATAACAGAGTTGGCCTGTCAGGTTAAATAGAATAATCCAGGTAGGGTTTTGTAGAATGTCTGGTATAGAGAAGGCCTCTATAAATGGTAGCTGGGAGCCTCTGCTTTTATTTTGGTGGCAGTTGGGAAGGAGAGTTTACCTACTACTTCTGTATGTGCGTCTGATGCCTTAGGGCTCTTAGAAATTTTCTAAACATATACCCTGTGAATTCCTGAGACTAGAATAATTGGCTTTCTTTTAAAAAAATGTAAGCATCTGGATCCATCCTAGAACTGCTGAGGCACAGTTTTAGGGACTATGAATAGACATTTTAAAACACAGAGGATGATTTGAGAGCTAAAACATAAGTGAACTCTTGACTTGTAAGGCCCTTGCACTTTTGAAACTTTCAGATGTGGCTGTGGCCTACCTGGACACATGCCATTGTCTGGTTGGTTGCCTGGGCCCTTCCTCTGCAGGGTCAAGATTATGTCAGGATCCAGGGTGACCTCAGACATTAGTTGAAAGAGAGTGCCTGTCTATGATTAGCACTTCCTTGCTATGAGGGTTAGGGGAGCTCCTGTGGCCCCCCGCTCTGGGGGCCGGCTCTCCTCTCAATAGCTCTTACTCCCTCTTCATGCCCAGAGGTGGGTCCAGTGGCGAAGTCCATTGGCTTAGCCTGGGACCTACCACAAATGCCACCAGGCTTAGGCTCAGCGTAAGCATTTCTTCCTCTTTGGGGTCTTTCTCCAAGGTTTTCAGGTACAAGGGCTTCTTACAGGTACCAGATCGTACTTGAGACGATCATTAAAGAGCTCTTCAGTTTCAGGCACATTGCCAAGAGGCTGGCATTCAGTCACACACTGGACGTGGCTGACTATTGAAGATTGAGGACATACCTGTTAGAATGGACTGCTTCTCTCTGCTCTCAGCAACTCTAACTCGGGAAATCTAAAAAAAATGTTCTGAAAGCCCTGAAACCTACTATATATTGTCAAGGAGTTTACGAAGTCATTGAAGTGCTTCCATAGACTCCTTAGGTCTGTGAACCTCAATTTAAAAATCTCTAGAAACACAGATCACTGTAAATTTGGGTGCTCAGGATGTCTAGGGTCACAGATGGGAGACTGGAGACAGAGCTCACCTTCCGATGTTTCTGGGCAGCTTTGATCTTGGCATTCCTCTCTCAGCCCTTGGTGTGTGCGTTTCCGGTTGGAGATGGAGTTCCGGGCTGCTGACTCCAGTTTAGCCTCCACACTCAGAAGGAGTTTTGAGACCTGAGGAAATCCTCGGAGAATCTGAGTGCCCAGAAACGCTGGCTGGCAGACTCTTCACAAGGTATTTAAAAGGCACTCAGTCTTTAGGAGGATGAAGGCCTAGGGGAAGACGGAATCCGTCATCTGCACAGATAGATCAGCTGTGCTGTGCCGATCTCAGGACTGGGAGTGGCAGCACTCGGGTACAGCTGTTAGGAGCACAGACTGTACCGAAGACAGCTTGTAGCAGCGTGTACTGTTAGCTTAAGGCAGCGATCTTAAGTGAGGTCCCCGCCAATGCTGTTGAGAGTTACAGAACATTTAATCAGACTTCAGATAAGTTTCTCTCAGTTGCCTTTTAAAAATAGACATTGCAAGAACATTAAGTTTAGTTTCTACCTTATTAACAAGGCTGTATAGTTTAGCATATTAAAGTAAAAATGAATATTTAATTAGAAACTGCAACCAAGGACAGACTATCAGACAGTATCATATGTGAGGTGCAATGAAGGAAAATTTGAATGAGTGAGTTGACCACCCCTATATTCTTTTTTTAGTCTGGCTACTCAGTGACCTTGAAAAATAGAGATTTTTAGAAGAAAATGTGAATAATGACTTGGAGGAGCCAGAAAGAGATTGAGGTATAGGGTGTATGTCTCACAACTCCCCTCTCCCATGTGGGCTACTTGTTACACTAGAAAAAAATGACATTTTCTGTACCAATGTGACCCAGATTTATTACTACTTGATGTGTTTGTGGTATCAATTCATACTCTCCTCTGTTAGGGGCTACCTTTTATGACTGCCTTATGGTCAGGTCATAGTGCAGTTTTATTAAAATAAGTGGCTTCTGGGAGTTGGGGCTGTGGGTAGGTGGGGTTATAAAGACACAGGAGGAGAAAATCCCTTTGGAAGTGATGAGACAGCTTTGCACTGTTACTGTATTACATGAGTTTGTACCTGTGATGATACATCACAGAGCTATTGTATTCCTGCCTTAAAAATATGCATATAGGTCGGGCGTGGTGGCACATGCCTGTAATCCCAGCACTTGGGAGGCTGAGGCAGGAGGATCGTTACAAGTTCGAGACCAGCCTGGGCTACAAAGTGAGCTCAAGACCAGCCTGAACTGCATAGCGAGACCCTGTCTCAAAAAGACAAAAAAAAAAAAAAAATGCATAAAAAGGCAAAAGATTCATACGATCGAAGAGAAACCAGAGTATACTAACGCATGTGAACCCTGCGAAATTCAAACAGGACTGTAAACGGGCTAACACCGTTGTACTAATGCGTGTCCTACTTTTGATAATTGTATCACTGCTAGTCGAGATGTTACCACTGGGAGAGGCTGGAAGAAGGGTCCACAGGACCTCTGTCCTCGTCTCGCAACTTCAATGTGAGACACACCCGTCTTCTCAGAAGAAAATTCAGAGAGCAGAGGTAGCGGCACTGAGAACGGGAAGGCGCTCAGCACGCGCTGGGCGGCTGCGGCTGGTGTGCACGGACGCGGCCGACGCCGCAGACCGGCCTTCTCGGCCGCGCGGTCCGAGCTCCTGCTCCTCAGCCTCAGGACTCAAGCGGTGAAGACGCAGACGTCACAGCAGCAGGCGCCCGTCGTGCCCCGCGGTGTCCCGGGCGCCAAGGCCAGCACCTCAGCACCCCGCGCCCGTGCCCGGAACTGGCGCCCTCGGCCTGAGGGCTGCCCACTCGCGGTGCTCCCACTGCTACCTCACGGTCCACGCACGCACCCTGACTGCAGGCACACACCGTGAGGACGCTGTCACCTCCCCTAGCGCTCCACTGTCACTCACGCGGTAGCTAGCAGGTGTCCCGAATTGGTCACCCGTACCGCCCTGCATCTGCTTAACAGGGACAGGGGCTGTCACCTTCCGATCGAGAGGGAGGGTCTACCGGAGGCCTGAGGATAGATCAGAGCCTCCTGTGTCCAAAGCACGAACTAGAGCATAACATACAAACCCCCTGGAGAAGGGAGGCGACTTCAAACCGCCGAGAAGATGTTCCACAGAGCCATAGCTTAAGCAGGAGTCTGGAGAGCCAGCGTAGCTCAGACTGTAGAGAGTGCCCAACTCTTCCATGCGTCCAGGTGGCTCTTCAATGCTTTAAGGCACGGACAGTCCATTACCTTCAGGTGAGAGCTGAGAGCAGTAAGCGACCAAGAGACAGCTTAGTTCTACTTCGTAGCTCCCCTATTCCTCTACAGATCCTCCTAGGAAGGCCCTCATCTTGGAGGCCAGGGTGGGGTGAGGCCCTGCAACCTAAAGATGTATTTATCTGGCCATTGAGCCTTTTGTGGATGTGCTGTGCATAGCCATATCCACGGCCAGGAAGGTTTAAGCACTCTGAATGGGGGATCAGGTATGTTTGGGACTTCACACATTTGCTCCTTCTCTGTACGAAGTGTGTTTGGATTATATAGGTTTGACATTTGGGGTCCCAAACTAACAGATCACCCACAGAATCTTAATACAACTTACTAACAAAAAGGTTTACTCCACCATAATTGTCACCATTAGCACCACTGCAGTCTCCTCAAACGACAGAGATAAAGCAAACATCACAAATGGACCAGCAGAAAATACCTAACCTTTGCAGACCAAGTGCTGAGTGTATTTTGGGTGAATTTTAGAAGCCCGAAGGACGACGTTAGGTGAAGAAAAAGGGCTCTGCAATTGTGTGTGCACTGTAAGTGTAACTATGTCGAATAATGAAACAAAACCCCAAAAAACTGCACAGAAAGAGACCGCAGAACAACGTCACTGCTAGAAGCTTCTCAAGGCTGGACTTCTGAAACACTAGTGCAAGAGATTCACAGTCACAGCATCTCAGCTGGGTCCCAGGAATCTTACTTGTAAACATATCTGACCACCAGATGGCAGCATTTATACAATAAAGTTTTAACATCCTAAGCCAGAGCTTTTTTTGTTTTGTACAAAGCTTTTTAAAAAAGACGTTTATATAACTCGTATTTTAAAATCAGTGCTTCACAATAAGAAATGAAATACAAGAGGGATTTCAATGAGGCTGATGTAGTTTAACTGATCTATCGAGATAGAAGTTTGAAGGAAAACCAATGTGTAGATAAGAATGCAGATGATACATGTTTGAATGATGGAGGCAATCTGACTGGAAAGTCAATAGACTTTAGGTTGGCGAGTGTAGGGTTGAGGCCCGATTCCGGCACTCCTGACATGAGGGCCTGGGGGCAGCCACATAACGTGGTAGGTAAGCACTGAGAGTATGCTGGTGCATTTCCTCCCATTTTTTTTTTTGGGCCCCCCCCCCAGAAGTGATGATTTTCCATCCCAAGAATACCTGGGAATAGCCCTGGGAGAAGACACTTCTGGGAATATTCTTGAAAACTGGCACAGTTTTTCCGTAGATAAGTTTGCTGTTAAATTGCTAATAATCAGATATTGCAGGAAGCACTGTCAAAGCGACACAAGTGATACGTGGAGAAGGTAGAGGACTGATTTGCATTTTCTCTCCACGGGCCAGTTGCTCACAAACCTTCCTATTGACAGAAGAACTTGCCTTTGTCTGTGTGCTCCGGAGATGTCTTCTGTCTTCAAAGGGGGCAGAATAAATATCCCCATCCTATAATGTACCAGAGTATTAAAGCAGGAAAGGGCTTTATACACCTCAGCTAATGACCATTTGAGGGGGTCACGAATCTTACGGATTTGGTGAACGCTATGGACCTTCTCCCCATACAGTTCGCATGTAATTTCAAGGGAAGCACCACGGAAATCAATTATCCATGGACATTGTGGGGCAGGTTCTCAGCTAGTGTGTGAGTGAGTGAGTGTGTGTGTGTTCCGTAGGGCCTGATTATTTTGAATAAACTACTAGGACATGTTTTGCAAACCACACATAGAAAATTGTTCTGCTATCAGTGGCAGGGTATCTAATCCCCCTGGAGAACTGAGACAAAAATTTAATCTCTTGCTTGGAGAATCTGTCAAAATTGCAGTAGTAACTAATATTCCTCTGAAGAGGATGCATAGAAGTGGTTGTTATAATAAAGCAACAAACTTTTATCTCTATTAAGCATCAAATGTGCTTACATTCCCAAATTCATGCTGAAAGAACGTATCCTAAAATGTTAATTAGTGAACCTCTCTAGACAGAGAATATAATTTAAATTTTGTTATATTGTGCATATTTCTAAGTTAGCTACAGTGAATACACATTTGGGAATATGAAAATCTTCCCAAGTTTTATTGAAAAAGTAATAGATCACAAAGGAATGCAATTAACATTCAGTTACATTTATACCTGATAAAACAAAGAAGGGCTGATAATTTGTGTGAGTCATGTCAGTTACATTCACGACCGCTCTGCAGAGTCATCCTACAAGACCACATTTCAAGGCCAAATCTAAGGAAGCCTGAGGATGGCACACATGAAGATATTTCTGGTTTTCCCATCATTAGATCTAGAAAAGCAGTAGATTTTCTGTTTGCATTGATCTTAATCTCTGCCTGTTTCTTAGAGATTTTATGGCAAGTGAGTCTATCAAGAAAGACACTCGCAAGAGAACTGAAAAGCATGAACGAACAAAGCTGTATTGGAGCTGGCTGACGGAACATCTCCAACCCGGAGTCAGGGAAGACGTCTGTACTGCTTTGGGCCTTGCCCTTGGTTTCAGTACATTTCAGGTTTCCATAGTAACTATTACTTCCTTTTCAGGAATCTCACAAGAACATCACATAATTAGCACAAAGTTTGCCTTTCTCCCAGGAGGTCAGACAACCAAATTCCAGTGACCATGGTGGGTTGGCCTTTCACCTACTTCCCAGCTTGCTGTGTTTGTTCTGTTCCCAGTTTATGGCTTTGCTCTGCTTTTAAGCAAGTTGATAAGGGGACTGGGGTTGGGGGTGTTAACTACAGCTTGAGTGAACTTTAAATGACCTCTGTTGCTATGGAAGTTAAAACCAGAAAAATGGAGTTTCTCTTGCCCTATCTGAGGTACCAAACACATTTTTGTTCAAAATTGTTGTCCATAGCACTATCCGATTTGTAGTTACAGATGCCTTTTAGCACCTGTTGTGGTTTGTATCTAGCTGTCCCCTCAAAGCCTCAGGGGGTCATAGGTGGGGCTTTTCAAAGGTGGCTGGATCTCGAGTGTGTGATGCTGGGATTAAGGATGTGATGCTGGGATGGACTCACAATGCAATTCTAGGATTAAGGATGCCCCCACTGGGTGTGAGTGCTAGCCTCACTAAGGGCAGGGAGGTTGGGTAGAATACAACAGACAGAAAGGGGGCTGTCGTTGTTGCTGTTTGTTGCTTGTTGCTTGCTGCTTTTGTTGCCTTCTGCATACCATAAACTATTTCTCGTCTGTGATGCCCCTCTGCCTTGCCACCTTGCCTTGGAGCCAGCTGATTATAGACTGAAAATTCTATACACTGTGAGTCAAAATAAAGCTTTCCTCATTTAAGTTGGAGTGTTAGGTATTTTATCTCAGCAGTAAGAAAAGTAACTAAGACAGCACTCTTTGGAATCTTGTGATTTCCCTTATGTGTTATGTTGATGTGACATTTTATATTAAGTTTCCAGATATTACACCTCCACTAAATTTTGTGGGTAAGCTTTTTTGGTTTCTTAGATTACTCTTTCACTGTGGACTTTGACTCTTTCAAACATTTGTAATAGGGTAAGGGTGAGGGATAAAATTTGTAGGTTGGTTTATATGTTAATGCTTTAGTCTGGCCCCAGAAGTTTTTACTTTGAAAAAAATCAACACATAAAATTTATACATATTTATGTGGTGTCATGCGTTGGCTTGATACATGGATACATTGTGTAATGTTCAAATTGGGGTAAGCATGGTCTACTTCCCCAAACATTTGTCCTTTTTGTGATGAAAACATTCAAAATCTGTTCTTTAGCTTTTCTGAGATACACAGTACATTGTTTTTAATACCCACTGACAACCTCCCCAGTGCCCCAGTCATTGGTAACTATTATTCTGCTATCGTCTTCTCTGACATCAATTTTTAGGTCCCACAAGTGAGAGTGTGCGCACTATTTGTCTGTCTGTGTCTGGATTATTTCATTTACCACAATGTCCTCCAGTTCCATTCCTGTTGTTTCACGTGACAGGATTTCATCCTTTCTTACTGCGTTCCAGTATGCCATTGTGTGTATGTACCGTAGTTTCTTTATTCATTCATCACTTCATGGGCACATCGGTTTATTCCATTTTGTGGCTCTTGTGAATAGTGTTGCAAATGACATAGAAATGCAGATGTCTTTTCGATGTATGGATTTCATTTCCTTTGGAGTCATACCCGGTAGTGGTGTCACTGGATGATATAGTCGTTCTATTTTTTATTTTGTGAAGATTGTTCACACTGCTGTCTATGGTTCTATAATGACTGTCCCAATTCACATCCCCACCAACAGTGTGCAAGCGTTCCCTTTCTTTCTCACGTTCTTTCCAACACTTTTTTGGGTCTTTTTTGATAACATCCATGCTAACAGGTGCAAGGTAAAATCTCATTGTGGGTTTGACTTATATTTCCTTAGTGATGAGCAACTTTAAGTGTTTTTCATATATAGCTTGGCCATTTATATGTCTTCTTTTGAGAAATGTCTATTTAGGTCAGTTATATATTTTAAAGTCAGCTTATTGATTTGCTTTGGGTGTGGAGTTGAGTTCCTTATATAGTCTCGGTGTTAATTCCTTGTCAAATGAGTAGTTTGTAGATATTTTATTCCATTATATAGGCTGTTCTTTCATTCTATTGATTGTTTTGCTATGTAGAAGCTTTTTAGCTAGATGTAATTCTTTTTATTTTAACTTTTGTTTGTGCTTTGGGGTCTTACCCCAAAAAACCTTTGCTAATTTCAGTGTCGTGAAGTGTTTCCTCTATGTTTCCTTCTAGTAATTTTATACTTTCAGACCCCATGTTTAAGTCTTTAATCCATTTTGAGGTTTTTTTTTGTATATAGTCACCAGGTTCTGACATCAAGTATTGGAAGACAGGAAGGAACAGGCAGAGCTTGCAAAGATGAAGAACAGTTAAAGGTTTGGCTTACTGGATCATTCCCAGGGTACCCTTTGTGACAGAGAAATGAAGTAATGGGAGAAGTGGAAAAGAAACAAAAGTAAGTCAGAGGGGCCGGGGGTTTAGCTCAGCGCAGCACCTGCCTGGAAAGCCTGAGGTGCTGAGTTTGATTCCCGGTACCAAAAAAAAAAAAAAAGTCAGAAACTGAATTATTGTACACAATAAATAAGGAAGGAGGAGGAAGACTAGAAAAGACACAAGAGCTGAAGATTTTGGGGAAGACGTGGGGCACCCGGGAAGTGTGAGATGTGGGTGCTCCAGAAAAGTTAGAGAAAGAAGAAGGGGGGTTCTAGAAGGGTTGTTTTCTTGGGTGTGACCTGAGTCCCTTACTGTTTTTTGGAGAGGTGCAAGCAAAGTTGTATGGGGGGTGCCTGGTTTCTGTTGCTTCTGCTCTCACATTTCTTGCCTTTTATGTTTCTTTTAAAATTATATCTGTGGAATATTTGCTTATAAGATGTTATTTTTCCGAAAAGTAGATTTATTGCTTTCGTGGTTGTCTCTATAATTCTTTACTTTTGACTTTATTTCTTTCCTCTTGCTTTATTATTTTTCTAAGTATTTGAGGCAAACACTGAGTTAACACACTTTAAGCATTATCTTTTTTATTAAAGATTCTATTTTTAAAAATAAATGAAATGATCTGGCCCCACATGTCAAAGAAAGAATGAAAAAAAAAAATAGATTGATTTAAGAATGGCACGTTGGGTTGGACCCGAATCTGACAGTGACTGCTGTGGCTGTCTGCAGCAAAGATGTATTTACTATAGTTTTTAAGACCTGAGCCGCCAAGTTTCTTTGTGTTCATCAGAGAAGTCGCGTGTCAGGATGCTGAAGTGGAGGCGGCGCGTTCATGCTTAGGATGAGGCTTTGTTTTTTTTTTTTTTTTTTTTTTTTTTTTCTCC